CCCCAAAACCCCAAAACCCCAAAACCCCAAAACCCCTTAATTCATCCTCCAAATTGTATTATTTAACAATTACTTAATCTAATATGAACCTCCCCCATACAAAACCGATTTCCCAAAACAGGTCTTACGCAAGGAAGGAATGAACCACCCCTGATCTCAAGACTGAGTATAACAAATAAGAATAATGTAAGCACCCAAGTTGGCTTAATCCAGAGACCTAATCACCCTTATAGAAATTATCAGGACACAGAAAGTTAAAGAAAGCAGATAGAAAGAACCTTGCGAAAGACAATATAAAAACACAGATGTCTTCTTATGATAAAATCAAGATTTTGAAAAGCGGAGATAACTTCAGCAATAACATAAAACAATCAAGTAGAAATTAGTGAGTTACCAATCTATAGGTGTTGAATATCTTTCACAGGAAAAGCTTTCAAATTCTAAGACAACTAGCAAGAAGATCGTCTGCACAACTATTTATAAGCCTCATGGAAAGATAGGGTCAAGAAATTATGTCCATGAATATACTAAGTCTACAAGGTCAGGCAAGAGTGATGATGAGCTTTCGAAGTCATATGATTCAAGTGCCCTCAAGTCTCGAAATACCCCTTTCAAGGTTTATCACAGTTCAAGAGCTAATAAATCCCCCTTGAATTATAACGTTGGACAGTCATATGAAGAAATCCAACGTAGAAAAAAAGAGATGAAAAGCCCAGGTAAAGATTTTATCTTCTAAATCATATAGGGAAAAATCATAGCTCAAGTCTCCAAAAATACAAAAAGGCTAAAATGAGATACCAAGTCAAGAAGCCAAAGAACTACGCTGATGCAAAATCTGGTAAAAGTAAGAAAGAGGAACCTGCTCAGAAAGAAGAGCCAAATGACAGCGTGGTTCACTTGGCTAAGTTCATCAACATTGTCAAAGATACTCCTCCTGAGAGTGAGGAAGGCGCCTCAGATGTTGAAGAGAGAACTCCTTCAGAGCTTAACACTCTAGGCAAAAAGACCAATCTTCCTCTATGAAATATCTCTATCCATGCTAGCCTTCAGGACTTGACCATAAGTCCTTCACAGAGAAGCCTCAACAAGCCTAAAAATAGCTTACTCCAGTCTAAAGACTCTTTCTGAAACTCAACTAAAAACCTGCTAACTAACAAAACCCCTAAAAATGGCCAGTCAAGTCTCCAACCCCCTTCGTTCAGGAGGTCGCCCACTTTCGCATCGACTTTTCCCAAGGCTAATCGTGAAATTAGTAAGTCAACATGCAGAGGTAGATTCTAGAGATACAACTGTGACTAGATGGAGAAATTTCATTTTTTGAATCATTAATTGAACTTAACTGTAGGAACAGAGAGTAATAGGACTAAAGAAGTTGGTTCGGAAGAGAACAAGGCTAGTTCATCGAATTTTCACGAGCTTAATAACAATTTTCAAACTGTTCCAGAGTCAAAACCTGATGTGGTCCAAATAGATTTCCAAGGTAGCTATGACCCTCAATAAACCCCATAGTTCAGAAACATCGCCTCGGAAATATGTCCCAAAGTGTCCAAGATCTCTCCTGTGTTAATAATAAGCCAGAGACCAAATTTGATAAAAGAAAGAAAACTATTCAATCTGGTAAGATAGAATTATTCGACCATATCCGCAAATTAAATCCCTCAAAAAGAATTTTGGATCAACCAACTATAGAAATGACCAAATCAGGGATGTCGAGGTCAGTCTTTGACCTTGAAACTGCTGAAAATTACTACCAAGTACCACCCAGTCTAACCTCTCTAGAAAGCGATCACAGCCATGGTTAGCATGAGAGAAGAATACGAGAATTTACTTCAGAAAGAGAAAGATACATCCGGTGCCTTAAGAGGTAATCTGCTTAATGAATCCATAGACCAAGTCAAGGATCTTCAGGAAGAACTCGCCAGAACAAAGTATAATTCAATTGAGGAGCACAAAACTCAGACTGACAAGGAAGTTCAGACAGCTGGAAACCATATTCAAGAGAATTCATGCCAGACTGATGAAATAGATGAATATACTCGGTCTGCAGAGAGTGAACCCAAGATCAGAAGTCTTCTCATAGCCAAAACTGCTAATAGTGACCAAAACCGCATCAGGGATATGCAGCAGGAATTGATGAAGCTTCAAGAACAAGTTGTTCAACTGAAGTTAACAAATAAGACCCTTAAGAAAGAAGGTGATGTGAAAGGTATTTGGAATGATTAACGCTCTTTTAGACAACAAGATAAGGCATTTATCAGCTCCCAACCAAGCACATCTTAACAGGACTGATGACCATGAAGGATATGAGAGAATATATTCTCAAACTATTGAAGAGGATAAAAACAACCTCACTGACATCGACTCAGAGGAAATCTCTCATGAATCCATCCTTGATTTTGAGCAACAAGAAGTTATAATTGAGTCAGTAGAAGGATCAATTGAAGTAGGAGAAAATAGGAAGAGGACTACTTCCTATATTGTTAAAACTCCTTCAAAGAATGATACATTAAGTGTCCAGGAAGAGGGGAAAGACTTGATCCCCATAGAAGAAGGGGATGAATCTTTAATCAAAGAGCCCTGGACTCCAAAATAAGCAGAAAGATTCAATTTCTCCTGCTCCACGTAAGTTTGTTGCTAATCTTTAGCAAGAGATATTCCTCAGAGTAGTAGTTTCACGAAGAAATCCATGAATACATCGGAATTGAACTCCTCTAGAGATTCTGAGTTAGATATGGTGCCAAGTTCTAGAGAAGATTCTGCTGTATACTGTTCTAGCCAAGGTTAACTAGCCGAAGAGCTTGAGACAACCAAGTTAAATAAATGGATGGGAAAGAATAATTAAAATTTAATCTCAATAACAACACTAAAAGCGGGGTTTTGGGGTTTTGGGGTTTTGGGGTTTTGGGGTTTTGGGGTTTTGGGG